TGTGACTGAAATTCAGTAAAGAGATGAATTCCCAAGAGGTAGGGGATATTGTCCAGAGGAATAAGGGGGAACTCAACCCAGATAGTATGTTTGAGAGAAAGAGGGTAGTTTCTCAGAATATATGCTTGATGGAGATAGTACAGTCCTCAAACAGGAAATATTTTATCTATAGGTGTGAAAACAATAAAGAATTCTGCTTGAAAGAATCACCATGTGCCATTTTGGGGTTTTGGCCTGACACTGCCATTCACAGTGTATTGTTTTGGCCTGACACTGCCATTCACAGTGTATTGTATTGAAGAAAGAAACTATTGGCAAAATCTAGAATTAGAATTAGAATAACAGAGTTGGAAGATATCTTGGAGGTCTTCTAGTCCAACCCCCTGCTTTGTCAGGAAACCCTATACCACTTCAGGCAAATGGTTATCCAATCTCTTCTTAAAAACTTCCAGTGTTGGAGCATTCACAACTTCTGGAGGCAAATTGTTCCACTGATTAATTGTTCTAACTGTCAGGAAATTTCTCCTTAGTTCTAAATTCCTTCTCTCCTTGATTAGTTTCCACCCATTGCTTCTTGTCCTACCTTCAGGTGCTTTGGAGAATAGCTTGACTCCCTCTTCTTTGTGGCAGCCCCTGAGATATTGGAAGACTGCTATCATCTCTCCCCTAGTCCTTCTTTTCATCAAATGAGACATACCCAGTTCCACCAATGGTTCTTTATATGTTTTAACCTCCAGTCCCCTACTCATCTTTGTTGCTCTTCTCTGAACTCTTTCTAGAGGCTCAACATCTTTTTTATATTGTGGTGACCAAAAACGGATGCAGTATTTCAAGTGTGGAGAAACTTCTTTCTATTCCTTATTGTTTTGTAGGAGCATACAATATTAATACCAGATAAAATGTACAGGTTGGATGATGTGATAGCTGATGTCAGTCACCAAAAAGTGTTAATAAAGTTGCAGCACACATCTCATAATGGACATGAGTGAACCATAATTATAAATACATGATTTATATTTTATAAATATTTCTAAATAATATGTAATATGAATATTATATTGTGAATAATAATACACATTTATAAATAATTTTAAATAAAGAAAAATAAGCACTCTAGCAAAAAGGAATGTTATAAAATGTTTTTAAGTATAGAACTTCATAACTGAATTCTTTTTCTGTTCTGTATTTTATTGTAGGTTTAAATTTTTCTTGCTGTTTCTTAGATATGATCAATATATTTTCTACTTGTTTTTCTGATCATTGTCAACTCGCAGAAGCATTTCTAGTCTGCTCTTGAGTTGCCATTAGACTCAAGGGGGGAGTACATTCCACGCATACCAGTGGTGGGTTGCTCCCGGTTCGGTGCGATTCTTGTGAACCAGTAGTAAAAGTGGCGGGAGGCTCCACCCACCTGCCCAAACGTCATCATGGACAATTTGCGCATGCACAAAAGCACACATGCATGCTCCTGTTGTAAACCGGTAGTAAAAGTAAGTAGAACCCATTCCTGACGCATACATTCTTCCAACGGTGAATCTCAGATTACCAAAGCCGGGGTGTGAGGCGTGTCTCTACAGCACATGGGAGTGCCTCATTGGAGAATGTGATTTATGACACAGACTGAAAGGAGGGAAGGAACAGGGTCAAAGGTGGGCCGTAACTTAAGCGAGGGCAGAGCAAACCTCATGCGAGTAGATGCTGGCATGCTGCTCCTAATAAATCATTGGATTCCTTTTGAAACTAACCATTCAAAAGCATGCAAATGTGAATTTAACTAAGATTAAAGGGAACTCAATTGGTCCCATTGTGGCTAGCAATAGAGGGATTGGCAATCTGATTCTTCACACTGAACATTTCTGATTTTACTTCTAATTCTAATTCTACCTCTCCAAGTTTTTCTTGCTATGTCATAGGTCAATGAAATATTTTATTTCATTATTTATTTTCCACTTGTTTTTCTGATCATAACAATAAGTGTCGTGTTTATTTCCCCTGTAGCTACCAAGAGTGCAAATTACTTGAACATTTCTCAAGTCCCTGAATAGTTCTTATAGAAAATAACAACAATTAACTAAGATTAAAGGGGACTCCATTGCTCCCTTCATGGTTGGGAATAGAGAGATGAAACTGGCAATGTGATTCTTCACATCGATCATTCTAACTTCTGATCCAACAAGATAACAAGAATATATCGGGCTGTTCTAATCAATGAGTTCTTTTGCTTAGTCTGTACACAAGGAATCGGTACCTGGTGTATATTTTCTTTTAAAGGATGCTACTGTTCATGACTGTGATGACAGCACTATTGCCAGACATTGTTTGCCATATTTCTGCTACGAACACAACATGTTCTATGGGCAAGCTTCATCTTATGAAGCATAAATACTATCATTCAGGAGATCTCATCATTGGTGGCATTATGCCTCAATCCTACATAATGTTTGAAACAATGAACTTTACAAGGCATCCATCTGAAGAACTGATTAATGATTTCATGTACAGACATGTTGCTCTTAAATGTGGCATGCATATGTGTATCTATATTTAACAAAAAAAAAAAGAGTTAAAATCTTTCTGTACTATGATAATAACTTTGTTAGATAATGGAGTACCCAACTCAAAGGAAGGCTAGCTCCCAACTGCCATGCTATTACTGCAGTATTATTAATCTGGTTGGTTATTACAGTTAGCCAAATGTTATTGGTATTATTATCATCAGCAGCATATTTTACTTCTTATCAATTAGTGCAGTTATTTTTTTTCATGCATGCAGCTGCCCACTGAGATCGCTCCCAAAGCCTTAAAATTTTCCATGTAGGAGACCTAAATTTAGCACAATGGTTTTTCTTTTAATTGATTCTAATTTTGAAAGTCAAAGATTTCCATATTTTTTTGCTATTTCATTTCCTGTGGATCATTAAAGATGCATCTTATTTGGTCACTGTTTACAAGTAACTGAAAATCAATATGCAATCATTGTAATGATTGCAAAATAAGAAACTAGCACGTCTCTGTGTCTGTTTAAAAGAATCAAAAGATCTTGAATATCTGTTCCCTGCAGCTGTCATATGAACAATTGGCAAATAATTTGAAACAGGTGCAGAAAAATGCTACGTCTGCATTCTTATATGGATCAACCTCATGGAAGAAAGTGAATGAGGAGCTGTAAAAATAAAAAATAGAAGTAGGTCTACTAACTGCACAAGGAATACTAACATTATTGATGAATATCGCTTTCATCAATTACTGCATTCTTAGATAAAACTATTCATAATAGATGAATGGGATTCTAATAGTTACCTCCATTTGTACAGCATTCTCCATTCTTTTCATTAGACCAACTTTCAATGTCATAGAAATGAGAAGTCCTAAAATACATTTGAAAACATTTCAATTCCACTTCTCCAAATAGGCCAGGAAATTCTGAAATTCTCTTTAAAGTACAGCTGTTAATATTATCAGTATGATAACATGATAAAGTTTATTTGAATGAAGCTAAATTTTGTTGTACTGTCTGTAAAATTAGGCAGACTTTGGCTAGCGATCAATGATCTCAGCACTAAATGTAATACAGTATTTACTTATGCCTCATTCTGTTTGGCTTTATTTTATTTCAATATTTTAATCTTTAATTCTGGTCTGTGACTGTAATAAAAGATTTATTTATTGAATGAATGAATTCTATTTGCTGCAGAATTAATGTATCCATTTTCATACTTGTGCATCTTGCATGTATCTCAATTAAGTAGTTTGAAAATTATATGATAATATTCAAAAAGTAAACAGATCAAGTCTGACCCCAATGGCTCAGTGGTTAAAGACACTGAATTTGTCAGCTGGAGAGCTGACAGCCAGCCTGAGTTCGATACCTGAGCTCCGCTCAATGGTGAGCTCCTGCTACTTGCCCCAGCTCCTGCCCACTAGCCTCTCAAAAGCATGCAAATGTGAATAGATAAATAGCTATCACTTCAGTGGGAAGATAACAGCATTCTATGTACCAAGCTAGCTACATGACCATGGAAAATATATTTGAATAATGCTGGCTCCCTTGGCCAAGAAACAGAGATGTTCACCACACCCTAACATCGGACACAATTGATAGGGAAATTTTCACCTTTTTATTGTTATTTATTTATTTATTTTATTAGTTTGTCAAACATGTACAAGATAGTAGGTATAAATATGAACATGGACATGATCGAAGGAAATGAATACAAATAAATGGGGACAATAGGACAGAGTTGGTAGGCACGCTGGCGCACTTATGCATGCCCCCTTTTCATACATTTTAGGAATGGGGTGAGGTCCACGGTAGACAGTTTAAGGTTGAAGCTGTGAGGGTTTGAGGATGTAACAATGGAGTCAGGTAGAGCATTCCAGGTGTTGATCACTCTGTTGCTGAAGTCATATTTTCTGCAATCGAGTTTGGAGGGGTTTACCTTGAGTTTGTATTGATTGTTTGCCCGTGTATTATTGAGGTTGAAGCTGAAGAAGTCGTTGGCAGGTAAGACATTGTAGCAGACAATTTTGTGTACTATGCTTAGATCAGACCGCAGGCAGCACAGTTCCAGTGTGTCCAAGACCAAAATTTCAAGCCTGGTGGCATAAGGGATTCTGTTGTGAGCAGAGGAGTGGAGTACTCTTCTCATGAAATATCTCTAATTGTCTAATTAATTGTCTGAAATATCTAATTGTCTTTAGTTAATTTATAAACTGTGTGAGAACTCCCATCATGACCAAAGCAGCATGTCTTAAAATATACCTTTTACTGCAGGTTTTTCCTTCAGAATTACCAACATGTTCTAGCTCTGATCTTCGCTGTAAAGGAGATCAATGAAAAGACTGTCATGTTACCTAACATAACTCTGGGGATTCTCATTGCGGATAGCTATTTCATGGCAAGAGGAGCCACCTTTGCTTCAATGGAGCTTCTTTCCACACAGGGCAGATTGATCCCTAACTATAAGTGTGATGCAAAGGACAAGGCAACATCTGTTATTGCAGGATCTAACTCTCACATCTGTTCCTTCATGGCAAACATTCTGAATATTTACAAGATGCCACAGGTAAATTCTGCTTAAGAGAGAGAAGAAGAGTAAGGAAGGAAACTATTTTTTTTCTTCTTTTATACTAACTTCTCTGATTTGGAAATTGCACCAATTTCAAACCAGGAATGAGGAGGCAAACTTGTAGGCTTGTCAAAAGATGTGGGTATTTTAATTTATTTATTCTGTGCATGTGTTTGAGCTAATTCATATTATACCATTAATTTCATGGGTCATATATGAGTTCACTGATATATAAATTGGGGCCATTTTAACTTGTTCTCGCCATATTTTAATATTGATAGTATAAAGGATTCAGGAGCTTAATTTAGTCATTCAATTATCCTTTAGAGATTCCCTAGACAGTGAAAAATCTTTTCCTCTTCTTCACTGCTACATTATGGAGATTCGGTAGCAGTAACAGAGTTGGAAGGGACCTTGGAGGTCATCTAGTCCAACCCCCTGCTCATGCAGGAGACCTGTACTAGGGATTCGAACCACCAAAATGCAGACCTTTCTGATTGACAAGCTCAATGTCTTAGCCACTGAGCCACCTAGTCAAGCTCGATGTACTCTGTCATGCTTTTGGCCATACTCACTTATAGATGTACGCTATTTACTTTTAGAGATGCCAGTCAACACATTTTAGTGTTTGCAGTTCTTCAAGAAACCAAGGAGATCCATGGACTTAGCAAAAAAGCTAAAGTCACTTGGGAACCAAATGATGGAGAGTCTGGATCCACTGATGATCAATGCAGTAACCAGGACTACTATATAAGGAAGCCTACCCGCTAGAAAGTTTTATAATTCCGCTCAGTCCAAAAGTGGTATGGCTGGAAAACTGGCCTGGCACCCAAGCAGGAAGGGAATGGTTCCAAGAAGTGCAGTAGTGGCCAAAATTGTGGAAACCTTTTGGGAAAAGTGTATTTTCTAAAACTAGCTAATAATACCACTTTTTTTGGAGTAGTACCATAAAATTATACATCAATGGAAAGATAATTTAATCAAGAATGAAATGCAATAGCTTTTATGAAGGATTTGCTATTAGAATAGCAGTTACAGTATAAAGAAGAAAAGTGAAACACGTAGAAAAAACAAGATATACAAAAAGTATCACCATAGAGAAAACGAGATATATAAAAATTATCATGCCAGTTAATACTTAGTTGGGTAACCTTTAGCATGTATTACGGCCTTACGACGTCTTCCCATGGAGCGAACCAAGTCTTTTAGTTCTGCAGCTGTTATAAAGTGAAACCAAATTGAATGATGGCTTCTATTAACTGGGTTTTATTGCTGGGTCACTTCTGACCAACAAGTTTCTTTAGTCAGCTCCATAGATTTTCAAGGTCTGGGCTATTCCCAGGCTATTCCAGCAGTGGAATATGATTATCTTGAAACTCTAATAAAAGTGGTGTTATTAGCCATCAAACCTCAAAAATACATTTTTCCCAAAAGGTTTCCACAATTTTGGCCACTACTGTACAATGTGGCTAGGTAGTAGCAAATATATGACAAAAGAGACATTGTTTGATTTCACCAATCATGATAAACAGCGCAAAGAACAAAGGTCAAAATTCTGTCTGGGGAGTGTAGTCAGTTATTATCTGACACAGGAAAATGAAACTAATGATGGCCACAGGTTTCTGAACTGCTGAAGAATGACTGAACTCAAGCATGAATGTTATTTCCCTGAGAAATAAAAGCCTCAGGACCAAAATGCACAAAGCTCAGTGTTTTGGCATGAAACAGTCTAGGACAGTGGTGTCAAATTCACTGAGGGCCACATCAGGGTTGTGTTTGACCTTGGGGAATCGGAGTGGGCATGGCCAAGGTGGGCAAGATCAGCTCGATGTCACTCATATGATGTCACTCGTATCAGGGTGCCTGTGGTGGCCCAAGTGCTCTGCCAGAGAAAACAGGCTCCTGAGCTCCGCTTTCGGCTGCAACAGCCTCCTGCAACCCTCTGCCAGTGAAAACAGAGTTCAGGAGGACCTGCGTGTGGCCCTCCCAAGCTCCGTTTTCACTGGCAGAGGCACCAAGAGCCAGTCCTTCGCTGTTTCCAGGGTGGGCCAGATATAAGCACCCTGTAGGCCGGATCCGGCCCCAAGGCCTTGAGTTTGACACCCCTGGTCTAGGAGTTTCATTAGTCACAAAAGAGATTTTGGTAGGTGCTTCCTGTTAAATGGTAGAGCAGGAGACAATATATTTTCCAATATATATATATATGCTATTGACTCTTATATCAGACATTATGGAAACTAACAGGCAGGTATTTTAGTAAAATGGGTGCAGCGATAAATGGATATGGAATATTTATAGTCTCTTGGTCAGAACCAGAACAGGAAACTATCACTGTACAGAACTTGTAGGATCACAATTTCCACCAAGATGAATGATCTGGCTTTAAGGACTGAAAATTATTCAAAACTGTATATGAAACACCAAATTGATTTGTATTTTACTTTATCATTTGAGGCATATGGCTTACGGGAACAAAAAGCAATGATATTTTATTGATCTTTATATTGCCATCCCTTGATTGGTTCACTTTCTTTGCTGGGACATATAAGCAGGAAACCAGATGAAGGAGATAGTGTGATGCACTTTCATTAGAACCTTTCCTGAATCAAGAATCAAGAACTTATTTCTTAAATCTAGATCTATGGCTTTGTAATAATGTTCACGTTTATACATTTCTTTAAAAAAAGATGTTTATCCCTCAGTTCTGGGCTGGGGATATGATAATGTTTAATTGCAAATACTGTAACTCATAAATATTTACTGTGCTCCCTCAAAAATAAGACCGGGTCTTATATTATTTTTTGCTCCAAAAGTTGCATTAGGGCTTATTTTCTGGTTAGGTCTTATTTTTGTGGAAATACGGTGCTACTTGCGTCTGTCTGGCTGATGATCTTAACTGGGGCTTATTTTTAGGGTAAGGCTTATATTACAAGGATCCTAAAAAATCATGCTAGGGCTTATTTTCTGGTTGGGTCTTATTTTCAGGAAAACAGGGTAGGAAAAACATGAGTATTGCATTTGGACATCCATCATCTGTTTAATTCATTTTTCTAGCTCCTCTATGGACCTGCCCCCCAAAAAGAAGACAATGTACATGCTGCATTCTTTCATCAAGTTTTCCCAGATCAGAGCATTGAGATTAAGGGAATTCTCAGTCTGCTCTTGTATTTAAAATGGAAATGGATTGGGCTGGTTTTTCAACGTACCGAGAGCGGGGAGAGATTTGTACAGAATGCCGTCACTACGTTTCCCCAGAAAGGTGTGTGCTTTGAATTCATGGAACAGGTGGCCATGGAGACATTTTCTGACAACATTTTAGTTACATTTCGTGAATTGATTAAAATGTACGTGGTTATCATGAACAGCACTTCCAATGTTGTCATCTTACATTGTGAAAACCAGGTCATGGTCATTTTTAGAATGTTCCCCTATGCGTCAGATTTTGAAGAGATCCCAATCAAGAGAAAGGATAAAGTTTGGATAATGACAGCCCAGATGGAGTTCACCTCACTTTCCTTTCAAAGAATGCGAGAGATGGATTTCTTCCATGGGGCGATATCTTTGGCAGTGTCCTCCAAAGAGATCTCTGGGTTCAAAAATTTTGTCCAAATGAGAAAGCCAACTTCAGAAAAGGAAGACCATTTAACAAGGTTGTTTTGGGAACAGGCATTTTTATGTTCCTTCCCCAGGTTGGATGAGGACATTGGAATAATGTGCACTGGAGAAGAGAAGTTGGAGAGTCTTCCTAATGCTATCTTTGATACCACTATGACTGGGCAAAGTTACAGCATCTATAATGCAGTTTATGCTGTGGCAAATGCGTTGCGAGCCGTGCTTTCACCCAGATTCAAATATAAAGTTAGGGCAGCCAGACTATTGACTGTGAATCAAGAGGCCTGGCAGGTAGTGTATATCTTACTTATCTGGGGACATAATGAGAATATTGGAATGGTGATATTTAGGTCTCTTCCTTTTTTAGTGTTCTTATAATTTTAAGAATTACATTTATCTTTACAATGATATGTAAGTAGTGGCAAGAATATGGAGTATGTATTTGTAAATGAAATCAGATCTGATTTGACAATCTATAGCTAATCCCAGGTATGACTTGATGATCTATAGCTAATCAATTATTAGACTTGATTCAGTATGTATTGAATAAGTAAACTGATCCAAAGTGTGAAACCTAGTAATGTAAAGTATTAGTAGTATAAGGTATATTTATCCCTATCAATTCTTCTATTTAGCTGCATCACTATCTGAAAAAACTCTCATTTAACAACAGTGTTGGAGATAAAATTTATTTTAATGAAAATGGGGAATTAAGAACTGGATTTGATATCATCAACTGGATCACATTCCCAAACCAGACTTTTCTTAACGTCAAAGTTGGAAGGGTAGATCCCACAGCTTCTCAAGATAAGCTGTTCACCATTTCTGTAGAGAACATCACTTGGCCAGACGAGTTTAACAAGGTAATTTCTGCTCAGAGGTGGGATTGACATAATTTACCTACCGGTTCACCCAGCACCAAACATGTGAGCATGCGCCTCCGCTCCACGCATACGCCCAGGACTTCTGTGCATGCGCTTTGCTTGTGCATGTACCTTCCATGCAAGAGCCCAGCAAAAATGTGGACAGCATAGAGCTGGGGTGAGTGAGCAGGTGGGCAGGCCCACCTGTGATTTCCACTACAGGTTCACCCAGTACATGCAAAGTTCAAAGTATCAGCAAGATTTTATTTCTCCTTACAAGCTACAGAGATACGATCCATCTGGGTCACCATGATTAAATCAGCCTGAATATAAAAGAGAACGCAGCCTTCATGGTTAGGCTTTGACACAACTTCAAACTACCCACATTCATTAATGTTCACGGATGTTCCATAAAGGTAAAGGAAATGATTTGCACATATGTGCTAGTCGTTTCCGACTCTAGGGGGTGGTGCTAATCTCTGTTTCAAAGCCAAAGACCCAGCACTGTCTGAAGACATCTCCGTGGTCATGTGGGCGGCATGACTCAACGCCAATGGCACATGGAATGCTGTTTCCTTCCCACCAAAGGTGATCCCTATTTTTCTACTTGCATTTTTTACATGCTTTCAAACTGTTAGGTTGGCAGAAGCTGGGACAAGTCACGGGAGCTCACTCCGTTATGCTGCACTAGGGATTCGAACTGCTGAACTGCCAACCTTTCAATCGACAAGCTCAGCGTCACAGACACAATAATACTTTGATTTTATTTCCTTAAATAGATATGAAATAGATTTGTTTGTTAGAAATACTGTACATACTAAACATGTTTCAGAAATGTTGTACTTTTTTATTTTGTGCTCAAGAATTTACTTTATACTAGTACATTTAGAGAGAAATACAGATCTATGAAATAACAGCAATAATAAGAACATTCTGGTTTCATTTATCAGATGCTGCCCCTTTCTGTGTGCAATGATAATTGCAATTCAGGTTACAGCAAGTTTAAAATAGAAGGTAGACCATTTTGTTGCTATGATTGCCTTCCTTGTGCAAAAGGGAAGATCTCAAACAAGACAGGTAAGGGATGTCAGTTGTAGATCTGTATGTATGTATTGTGACCCAAGCACTAATCTTGAAATTAGCACTGTGTGTTCTTTTTAACTCTGAAGTGAGATTGTGCTATTGATCTAGAATTACTATCTGTCTATGAAACTTTAAAGCAGGGGGGCCCAACCTTTGGCCCATGGACTGGTACCAGTCTGTTGCCAATTAGGAACCAGGCCACTCAACTGGAGATGAGGGGCAGGCAAGCAAATGAAGTTTCATCTCTACATGCAAGGAATCTAGATTGCATGTGAAACCATCTCCTCCCCGCCTCTCCCGGTCTGTTAAAAAATTGTCTTTCACAAAACGATTCATATATTGGATGTACTCAATAGTAGTGTACTTCCAGAAAAAAAATAAAAGATGTAATGAAGGAGCTAACGAACTAAGATGTAATGAAGGAGCTAACAGTGGATTATCTTTTCTATGAAAACATTCCATCAATCTACATGTTCTCCTGAACTTTAGAAAGAGAAAATAAGTTTTTAGCCAGTGATGATTTTGCTTAAAGAATTTGTGCAACCACTCATCTTGACATGTGACTCTATACAGCGAACAATAATAAATAGAATAAAAACAATTACATTCCAATCACCAAAATTAAAACATATAGCAGCTGAGAAAAACCACACCGTCCACAGTGACTCACAGTACTTAGTGAATACAATTGTTTTTGTTTGTTTTTTTAGAATCGCTAATGTACATTTTTTCCTCCATTACATTATGCTGCTAGCAGCCTTAGACTTTGCCAAAGACTGATTTTTATCTAGGATAAAATAGCTACATCACTGTTATGAGAAAAATATATGTCTGCTTATTGGCCAATACATATAAATATAAAGACCAGTCCAAACACCACCATTCATATACATGCAAGGAGAGAGACAGAGAGACAGAGACAGAGACAGAGACAGAGACAGAGATAGAGAGACAGAAAGAGACAGCAAGAACAGACTTATGCATTGGTACATTCACATACAGACTTCATCTTTCTGTAAGATGTTCCATGATAAATACTTGTTATAAAGTATTTAGAAACTAATAAAATGTCATCAACTAATTTTCAGCCCATCAAAGCCAAATAATTGTTATACTTGAAGCACAAGTATTTTGTTTTTCAGATGCAGGTGACTGTTTCAAATGTTCAGACAATCAATACCCAAACAAAGCTCAAAACCTTTGCATTCTGAAATGGATCATATTTTTGTCTTACAAAGAACCCTTGGGAATTACCTTGACAAGTATTGCTCTCTTCTTTTCTGTCATCTCAGCTGTGGTCCTGCGAATCTTCATTAAACACCAGCACACGCCCATCGTCAAAGCCAACAACAGGAACCTCACCTACGTTCTTCTCATTGCTCTCCTGCTCTCCTTCCTTTGCACTTTGCTTTTCATTGGGCAACCTGACCAAGTGAAATGTCTCATGCGACAAACTGCCTTTAGCATTATCTTCTCTGTAGCCCTTTCTTGTATGTTGGGCAAAACAACCATTGTTGTTCTTGCTTTCATGGCCACCAAGCCCGGATCTCAAATAAGGAAATGGGTAGGAAAAAGACTGGCTATCACTATTGTCCTTGGTTGCTCCTTGGTACAAATTACAATTTGTATTTTATGGCTTACAATTTTTCCCCCATTTGCTGATTCTGAATGATTCTGATTCTGATTCACCCATGACAAACAGAATAGGCTGCAGGAAAATCATGTTTATAGACTAAAAAAATATTCTGCACAATAAACTTACTGCATTCTCACCCCACTCTGGGGCCAGCCAAAGGTGGTATTTGCCAGTTCTCCAGAACTGGTCAGAACCTGCTGGATTTCACCTCTGTCCCCCCACCCCTGACATATAATTCTTACTATTCCAAAAATTAACTCCTGCTCACGCGGAGGAAGTGTAAAACACCATTAACTTGGTTTAAACAAGGGGTCAATTGCCGCCATGCTTTTTCTTTCTTTCTAATGATATCCAGGTCTAATGTACCATTTACTACAGAAATGCACTCTGAATTCATATTCACCAAGACTTTATAATACATTTGCATACTATCTTCAATCAATTGAAAAATACTGTATCTATTCCATTTTGTCCCGTTCAGGTTAAATCAGTGGTTCCCAAACTTTTTTTGGCCATGTCCCACCTAAGCATGCCTAAAATCCTGATGTCCCCCTCCCCCCAGTGGTGAAATCCAAATTTTTTTACTACCGGTTCTGTGGGCATGGCTTGGTGGGCAAGGTGTGACTTGGTGGGCATGGCAGGGGAAGGATACTGCAAAATCTCCATTCCCACCCCACTCTGGGGCCAGCCAGAGGTGATATTTACCAGTTCTCCGAACTGGTCAAAATTTCCACTACCGGTTCTCCAGAACCTGTCAGAACCTGCTGGATTTCACTCCTGTCCCCCCCATCCCCTGACATATAATTCTTACTATTCCAAAAATTAACTCCTACTCATGTGGAGGAAGTCTAAAACATCATTAACTTGGTTTAAGCAAGGTTTCAATTGCCCCCATTAAAAATCAAATTGCCTCTCTGTGGGGCGTGGGCCCTATGCTGGGAACCACTGGATTAAATGAACTCGGCCTTGTCGTTAATTGTTTGGTACAGTACATTCAGATACAGTATTTTATCAGACTGTTCAATCAAAATCATCATATTGAAGGATCTATTTAGGATTTTGTTTTTTTGGACTTCTTTCAATGTATATAAGCTTTTCTGTAGGAAGCTTGCCACTGAAGAGTTATTTATGGATTAAACACATTAAGAAATACTAATAAGTCTGCTCAAAATAAAGCTACTGGTAACTAATATTTATATCAACCAAATTAATTTGGGTATAGTTCTAGTGATTATATGATTTCATTTTAGAACACCTGAAGAGAAAACGATCCAAAAAGATGTTTCAACTTAGATGGGAGAATATGAAAGTCATTTCATTTTGAGAATGGAATGAAATAGAACAGCTTGGTATAGTGTTTTAGGCACCAGGCTAGAAACTATGAGACTATAAATTACAGTGTCATCTCAGGTATAAAGGCCAGCTGGGTGACCAATTACTCTCTATCAGCCCAGCCCACCATATAAGGTTGTTGTTGTGGGGAAAATAGGAGGAAGAAAGCATATTACATGTGTTCACTGCCTCATGTTATTTATAAAAATCATAAAAGCAGGATATCAATCTGAGTCGACTCGATTGGGGATCTCATAATAAAGTGGAACTTGTTAGAATGTTATATCTACAGTAGTGGCCAAAATTGTGGAAACCTTTTGGGAAAAGTGTATTTTTGAGGTCTGATGGCAAATAACACCACCTTTTTTTTGGGGGGGGGCAGTTTCAAGATAACGACTACTTCAGCTTCAACCTCAATAATACTCAGGAAAACAATCAATACAAACTCAAAGTAAACAGCTCCAAACTCGATTGCAGAAAATACAACTTCAGCAATAGAGTGGTCAATGCCTGGAATGCTCTATCTGACTCTGTTGTTACATCGTCAAACCCGCACAGCTTCAATATTAAACTGTCTATCGTGGACCTCACCCCATTCCTAAGAGGTCCATAAAGGGGGCATGCATAAGCATACCAGAATGCCTACCATCCCTGTCCGTCTGTCCCCATTTTTTGTACTCATTTCCTATGTTCATCTCCATGTTTATACTTATACCTGTTATCTTGTACATGTTTGACAAATGAAATAAATAAATAAATAATCATATTCCACTGCTGGAATGACCTGGGGATAGCCCAGACCTTAACTCAATTGAAAAACTATGGAGCCGACTAAAGAAACTTGTTAGTCAGAAGCGACCCAGCAATAAAACCCACTTAATAGAAGCAATCATTCAATCTTGGTTTCATATTATAACAGCTGCAGAACTAAAAGACTTGGTTCACTCCATGGGAAGACGTTGTAAGGCTGTAATTCATGCTAAAGGTTACCCAACTATTAACGGACATGATGATAATTTTGGTATATCACATTTTTTCTATGTGTTTCACTTTTCTTCTTTATACTACAAGAGCCTTGGTAGTACAGGGGTTTAAGGCACCCTGTTATTAAGCTGGTTATTAAGACCAGCTGCCTGCAATTACTGCAGGGTTCGAATCTCGCCAAGGCTCAAGGTTGACTCAGCCTTCCATCCTTTCTAAGGTAGGTAAATTGAGGACCCAGTTGTGGGGGCAATAAGCTGACTTTGTATAAATATACAAAAGGATGAAGGCTATTGCTGAGCACATTGTAAGCCGCCCTGAGTCTTCGGAGAAGGGCGGCATATAAATCAAATTTTAAAAAAAGTGCTATTCTAACAGCAAATCCTTCATAAAAGTTATTGCATTACATTCTTGATTGAATTATCTTTCCATTGATATATAATTTTATGGTACTACTCCCAAAAAAAAAGTGGTGTTATTAGCTAGTTTTAGAAAATACACTTTCCCCAAAAGGTTTCCACAATTTTGGCCACTACTGTATGTCTTTCAGAAAAATAAGTATATTCTTTAGAATTGCCATTTTATGTTTCCATGCACCAACAACCTGCTTACATATTACTTATTGAGTAATGTATTTGATTTGGAATAGCTTAAAAAAAAAGAAATATGTGATTCATAATTCATGGTGGACATTTCCATTTGTAATTAGACATTCTTTCAACTGGAAAAAAAATTGGAACATTGTAGTATTTTTTTATTCTCCTTTTGCAAATTAGAGAAGGAGCTGATCTTTTCTAAGTCCCCTCCCCCCAATCTCAAAACTTTGCCTTTAGTTACCAACTTCAATTGTCATGGAATTGCAAAATTGGCAGACATTTTTATTTTTTAAAAAAATCAATATAAGATATGGCATATTCTTCAGACACATCATGCCGAAGGTCCCTCAAGCATGGGATGATTTGCCCTATCATTATCAACTTCTCCATTATTAACTCCAAGTCCCAAAAGGGATTCAAGAAATAGATCATGGCAATGAATTAAAGCT